TAGCCAATCAACTTGCCGGTTTTCCGTAAAAACTGTAAGCTGATTGGCTACACATTTCTCGATCCGAGAACTTAGATCGAGTTCTAGCATCGTGGACATTGGGCTTAAAGCCTTGTGTCCACGATGCTAGAAATTGGTCCGAGATCTCGGAAAGAGAAAGAATTAACCAATCACATTTAAACAATTTAGTCACATGATCAATGCGATTGGTCAATTCTTTCTTCATCCGAGATCTCGGACGGATTTCTAGCATTGTGGACACTGGGCTTTAGAAAGTAAGAATTTGAAGAAAGCAACATTCGACATTTGGTGAATTTTTAGGCAGGGATTTGCAGGGTATCGATCATGAAATTTTATCCCTAGGATGGAAAGTGAAAAGCATATATGTAATACTACTATATTGTAGTATTACATATATGGTGAAAAGTGAAAATTTTTATCATTGAAGTTAATGGAGAAATTTTTCACTTTTCACCCTAGGGAAAAAGTTTCATGATTGATACCCTGAATTTTTTCTTGACCCGCGGTAACTTGACCCTGGTCGGAAACAATTAGAATGATCAAGATGGCTGCTGCCATGCATATACCGCGCGACACGCACATGGTAGAGATGGAGATGATTTCGGATAACTCTGGACAGCCAAAGATGGGTAGAACGTATTCCAATATATTGGATAATTTTAACAAGCTGAAGGACAGCAATCCATCTGTGAGATTAAATGGCGGAGTTGCGCTATTGAATTATATACATCAACATAATATGGTAAATACGTCAACCAGAAACATCATGAGGAAAATTGCGTATGTGAGGCGCGGATGGAATCAAACCCGGACCCGCAGATTATAGTCCGCGGATCAAGCGAGGGGCCACCCGATGCCTCGAAGTTTTAATTCGTAGAGCAAGTTCTAATTCTTAAGTAGAAAAAGATGAAGTTAGTTAAGAATGTTCTGGTTATACAGTCCCAGACAAAAGTTACTCAAATTTGAAATTCATGAAATTCTATACTTTTATAAGTTAAAATATGCGCCGTATCATGTATAGAACCTAAATAATGTCGATGTGATATTTGGCATTATTAATGAATATATTTATATTTCTATAATCGTGGGTAAAAACTTTTTGGATATGAATTTTCCTTGAAAATCAACTGTAAGAAACGAAAGACGCATACTAATAACATTTAATGTATATCAAACATCACTTGTATTTAAAAATCAAAAAGATATGTAAACTAACCTTTGTACTATTGATACTTTTGAGTTGCCACGTTTTGAGCAGTCAAAGTGAAGTTATGTAGTCCAATCGGAATTTTGCTTTATCGTTAATATCTTGATAATCGGTTAGTAAATTGATATGAATTTTTTTTAGATACTCAATATTTTATTTACTCATAAAGTTTCAGAATATTGGTTCTGTATAAGCAACAATGTTGCTTCTTTATAATTTTGTTGATATAAGTGGAAATATGCTGCTGCTCAGTGAAAATAAATCGCTGAAATCGCTGAAAATCGCTAAAATCTATATCTAACCCATTTCAGTATTATACTAAATTCAGTATTATTCAGAATTATATACTAAAATGAGTCAACTTATATAGATTTCAGCGATTTCAGTGATTTATTTCTACCAGGGATACTCCATAAGAACTCATGCAAAATTAAATTGGATAACTCGTGAACTAGATAGAGAATTAACTTCAGGTTTTATATATGTTTTCAGATTATAAATAGAACCAATTTATTAAATTTTCAAGTTATTGTCAATGTTAGAACGTTAGTGCCAGTACATCCTTGAATCAAGATTAAAGTTGATTTGTCTTGATAGAAACAGGCATTAAATTGTAGACATTAAGAAGAAAAATCTAATTTGTATGAGATACTTGACAAATTGTCACGTCGTAATGTATGATCTATTTGCAGGATCAGAATGACAAAGAGTTGGATCTTGCCTTGGTCAAGATGATTGCAAGATTGGGATCTTCGATGACATCTACCAGAACAGGTTTCTATAGTACCTTGACAGTTTTTCTAATGATGCATCCTGATACTTCAGTGGAAAAACTTTTATCTATGATGAACACCCAGTTGCGTCCAGCTGGCAGTAATCTTAAAAGCGTAAGACCTAAAATCTTGTTTTTATTTTGTTTTGGAAATAATAGTTAAAGAAATACTGTAATTTCTCTTTGTAGGAGAATGCTGATATATATATGGGACGTATATTGCTCTGTGGTGCCTTGATTAGGTCCAAGTTACTTGCCCAGAACAGCATTGAGATGCAACAGCAGATTATAGAGATTTTGTTAAATGCTGGCAAACAACGCAGCTATTTATCATTTATCTCCACTATGTTTCTCAGCGAGTTTATTATTCAGCTTGATACTGTATCTATCAAAAATGTTTGGCCAATTGTTGAGAAAGAAATTGGCAAGCCATGGTCCGAACAAACTTTGGATACATTCTATATGCTGCTGATTCTTAGGGACAAACATCCTTCGTTAGTTGACCATAAATTTTTGAAGCAACACTTAGGCATGACTGAGATAATTACCAAGGAGTCTGTAGAAGATATTGTTAAACTATTAACGGTCTGTATTTAGCAAGACTTGAGTAATCTTTTCTTTGTGTATTTCCATCCTACAATATATGTTCGTGTTAAAATAGATTTTTAATTTTTTTTTTTATTTTACAGGCTTTACTTCGAATTGTCTCTTATCAACATCCAGTGTTTAAGCTATTTTGTGAAAAACTGGTAGCGACTGAATTCGTGGCAGACTTTTGGAAAGGCATTGATCAGAAATTTATAAAACCGTCAAAGAGTGATGAATATATTGCTGTAGAAATGTTACGACTAATACTTCTTAATGTTACGGATAAAACCGTAATTCCTTCATTATTGTCTCCAAATCTTCTGCAACATATGTTAAAAAGATTTTCGAACTGTAAGAAGAATAGAAATGATGAAGTTTTGATAGCATTCAGGAAAGTTTTACATTTGATAGTGTCTGCTACAAACAACGAAGATATCAAGACAAAAACACAGCTGTGTATATTGAAGAAGTTCATATTACGTCCTGGTGACTTAATGATAGAAAAGATGACAGGTGTTAAGGTGATTCAAATAATTATGGGAAATTTGAGGATAGACGGTATTAAGAAGTTGAGCCAATTGTATAGAGAAATTATAGAAAATGAGATGACTAAAGAAAGAGAAGGTACAAAGACAGAATTTTGGACAAATGCCGAGCGAAGTTACACAGCACAGCTCCTAACAAAGTGAGTATAATTAGTATTAACAATGTAAATGATTTGATATAATGAATAGAGATTAAATGTTTTATTGTAATATTTCTTATTGTATTAAATATACTTCTTTCCATTAGATTAATGGGTCGTCCAGAGACGTTCTTGGATCAAGACTGGAGACTTGAGCAACTGATATTTCTGTTTAAATATGGATTATTTGAAGTATCAAATGTTGGAATAGAACTAGCACGTAAGTATAAGCTATATATACATGTATCTTTTAAATTGTTATGAGTTGAAATAAATTTAATTATTATTTTCAGAACAATTTAAAGATTCTTTTTATCGTGCTCTGGATTATAAATTACCAAAATTGGATAATGCACGAAATCTGTTGAGTGCACTTGTTCACAATTTAGATTCGAAATTGAAATCCAATATGATCAGATCACCATTAAACGACGCAGCAGCCGATGCTTGGGAAAGAGGGATAGACTTAATTGAAAAACTAGAAAAAAATACAAAACATTCGGAAGCCTTACCGATATTTCATACGATGAATTTGCACATGGGTCTGCAATTGTTCTCAGATCCTGAAACAGCGATTATGTCGATTAATGAACTTCAATGTTGTTACGAGAGATTAAGTAAAAAATCCAAGAAACATAAAAAACTCAATAACACAGTTATGGAAGAGGAACCGGAATGGGTTGAAGTAGTAGTGGATCTTTTGTTATCTCTTTTATCCAAGACCGATCATTTATTCCGCTCATTAGTTGGCTGTGTATTTCCACATATCTGTCCATATCTCACTCCATCTGCAATCCACCAGATATTGGCCGTAAGCTTTTGCTTATACAATTTTTATAAGATTAATCTGGTTCTTTAATTGAAAAGAAGTTAATTTATTCTATCGCGAATGTTTGAAAAAATCGTAAGTATATGTTATTCTTTATTTCAGGTATTAGATATTAAAAATACTCAAAAGACGCTCACTACAAAGCAAAATGATGATGATGATTCTTCTGGTATAGAAAGCGAATCAGATAATGAGGATGAAAAGGAGGGAAGTGTTTCAAATGATGAAGTTTTATCGAAAAGTGAATCCGAGTCTGACTTAAGTGAGAACGAGAACGAGGATGAGGATGAAACCGTGACCGATAAATTGAGGATAGCGTTACATCAAGCTTTGGGTGATGCTGCAGTGAAAACCGATGATGAGGATATCGACATAGATGAAATAGACGAGGAAGAGGGCAAACGATTGGACAAATCGTTAGCAGCAGCTTTTAAAGCTTTTCGAGAGAATCAACAGGCTCGTTCTAAAAAGCAAGGAAAGTCGAGTCAGGCATTGATGCACTTCAGAGCTCGCGTTATAGATCTATTACAGATTTATCTAGAAACTAGTCCGTCTATGGCAGTCACTCTAGATATGATCGTGCCACTGTTTGCTCTGCTGGAATTTTGTATAAAGGACCCACATCAAGAACCACTCGCACATAGAATTCGGACTTGCTTAAAAAAGTTATCAACGGTGAAAAAGTTTAAAGATACAACGAATGTTGACGAGACTTTATTAACGACAGTGTTAAAGGTAATTATTTGTAACGATTAAGTTTGTAGCAAATTTGCCGATTAAATGATATATGATATCTCTTTAAGGCTTTGATCGAAAAAGGAGAGCGTTCTGCTTCAGTTTGTCAAGAACTCAATGATAAATTGGCAGAATGCTGTACCTTCCTTGTAAGATGCGCGCAGCAAGCCAACTTGTCTACCGAAAGTATTGTAGAAATTTATGGTGAAAATTTAACTGCGTTCTTTAAGAAGAGAGACTGCGTGCTTTCGCCTATATTGTTTAAGGGTGTATTACAGTTGTGTTGGGAAGATAATTGGCTGTTGGCGCTTCTGTTGGTAGATATTTAAATTTACTGCAAATATTTTCTAATATCTCGTATAAAATATATCTTGCTCTATAGAATATCATTTGATTGTTTAGGTGGACTTTGCTTTTGACAGCAGTATTCGATACTTTCGTAAAAATCAAGCGCTTGAATTGTTACTAGTTTTCTACAATAATAACCGATTACTGAACATGAATACGAAGTATGCCGACGTGAAAATGAAATTAGAAACGACGCTTTTTAAAAATACCATAAATATATTCAAAGAAACATGTAATCTACATGTGAGTGATGGGCAGTCTACTTTGTGTAATAATGTTAGTGCGCAGAAAAAAGTTTTACAGAAGTTTATTGGACATCTTTTGATGTTATTGCGCGTTGTTCGCACACGATGTTTGTCAAAGGCATGGGATTGGCAAATTGTTAAAACGGAATTAATAAATTACAGAAGCCAATACACTCTTTTCGGAGATGCAAAAATTGCCTACAACAAGCTGGCAGCAGAGATCGGAGCACCTCTCAATTTGTAGGTGGAATTAATATTATTCTATTCTCAAAAACTGTCTTATTTTTGTTTTAGCAAAATACACGTGCACGCGCGCATATTTTTTAACTAATAACCAGTGAGGTTTTTTTATATTATTTGATATAATTTGTTATCAGGCCATCAAAGAAGGATGCTAAGTTAAATAGTTCCAATGATGTTTCACAAAGTAATGGCAAACAAAGCATTATCGGATCTCAAAACGGAAAAACAAGTGACTCAGAAGAAGAAAAAGAAGAGGAGGAAGTACAAGAAGAGGTTGCACATAGTAATAATGAACAGAAAAAGAGAAGAAAGAATAAGAGTAAACAAAGGGAGAAACAATTACTGAAGAAAGAAGCGCGTGAATTACGCGCAAAAGTTATGTCTCAAGATGTAGAACCATTTAAATTTAGCAGTGTCAGTTTACCAGAAAATGAAGATGCTGCAGACTTGATTCAAAATGGAAATTTACATGACAAGTCTGCGAACTCGAAAGCATCACAGAAAAGAAATCAGACGATGGAGGACCATCGGGAATCTAAAAGAAGAAAACATGTTAATCCTGCTTGATACAATTTATAAACTTACAGAATAAAAGATGATGAAATATAGCGCGAAAATTAATTAAAATGTTTAGAGTATGCCAAATAATTATTCATACGTGAAATAAAAAGTCTGTGTACATGTATAACTGCAATTATTACTTTTTGTTATAAAAAATGAATAATCAGTGATATTGATTATTTAAAAATTTACATACTTTTGCGTAAAAAAATACATATTGATTCTCTTTTATTTCTTTAATTAATTAATGTACATTGTTATTTTAGTTGGCTTTATCAGTTGTAATTACTAACGAATATTTATGACTTGTTCGAATAATTTACATTTACACAGACAAATTTTTACTAGTTGATTACATTATGTTTTTTATTTTATGTACGTGCGTGCGTGCGTACGCGCAAACACATATACAGGGTGTATCTAAAATAACGTACACTAATCATATAGTGCTATTCCTAATAAAAAACTGAATCGAAAAGTCCTTTAACATTTTGCAATTTTTGCAATAGTTAACAAGATATTAATTACTGAAAATTGTTGAATATTGGTCTTCAATAATTTTTTACCCCCAAACACTATCAACATTATAGAAAAACTGCAAGAAACAAAAATAATTTATTTTCTTCTCATAAAACTCAAAGAATTTTTTCAGAATTTTTTATCAACTTTTTAGTACTATATTTTCTTATTTTTACCAACATGAGAAAATACGGTATTAAAAAATTCTGAAAATTCTAAAAAAATTTTCATAACTTTATGAGAAGGAAATAAACAATTTTTATCTCTAACAGAGATTATTTTTTCTGTAAAGTTGTACGTTATTTTAGATACACCTTGTATATATATTTTTATATATGTATATATAATTTCTCTTTAATTACATTTATTTATCTTAATAAAATTATCGTAATAACAAATTTAAACATAGCCTAAATATTTTTCGGAATATTTTTTTACTCAAAAACTACTCTATATATTGTACAATGTTTTTTTATAACTCCTATATGTTAATGTTTAATTCTTTGTACAGAAAATGTATATATGAGTCTCGATATTCATGAATATTTTGAAATTAGTCCACAGGACTTTTCAGGATGGGGATTTCCTTTTTTTTTTTATACTCCTAGACTGATATTCATAGTTCTTATATTAATACCGTCTTTTAAATGTATTCTTACTTTCGTGGACCAATTACAGAGCTGTATTAGCATCTTGAGACATTACGAAATAACGGACTGTGAATACCTTAGTTTTTAGTGTTCATTAAAATTGATGCTATTATCGATCGGTATTGTATTAATTAATATCAATCATGAGTTGTATTTTCTGACGGTCGACCGTAACTACGCGATCGTTCATTGCTAAATTATGTACGAATGAAACAGAGGCAATTCGCTGATATGACTATCGTAATGTTACTAGTTCTTTGTTGGACTCAATAAGAGTAGAGCACGCGCATTCGAGAGGAACTCTAAAGCGAGTCACTAGATCTCATTTTTGTGGAGCGGGAGAGAAGGCCGGCATAGGCCGGGGTGCGAGGAATCGGTTGACTCAAATCAGTCTCCTTCCGAGCCGAGGAAACGTCTCGTTCTCGCTGCGATATGTTGCGCGTGCTGAAGAGATTTCATTGTCTACGACGCTACTCGTCTGCGGCTTTACCAGCACCAGATACAAACCCACCGATTCTGTACACAGGTGTAAGTATAATACCTATGACAAAGAATGAATTTATCATGAGATGTACTGCATAATTTCATGTCACGGTCTTTGATACGAATATAATATTCGTGGCAAATTCTTTCAAATTCTTACGAGCTTCGAAAGGAGTTAAAATGATAGTCTATTAATGGAGAGTGGTTCGCAGATAAAAACATTAGTAAAAGTAAAGTAGAGGTAATATATTTTGGATATTTTTGGAAATCTATTGATGGACTTTTTCTAAAATTTAGATATGCCGGCATCTAAATCTGTCCGGAGGGAAACACATTTCTGCCGTTATTCTAAGGGCGCTTTCAAATTTCCTGCATCCTTCATAGATATCATTCTATCCTTGTTTAATTCTCAATATACCCTTGGGCCATTGCCCTCTGCGCATTTCTTTTCTTTAATTTGTGTATGTACAACAATATTATATACAACAGTTGTATATAACGATTTACATACAATTTATTATAAATATACAACTTTCTAAAGATACAAGGGCAAATCAATAACCCGTGTTTGAAGATAGATGACGTTGCTGATGCAAGTTGGCATTACCATCGTGACTATCATTTTTCAAATGACGCTATACAAAATTTCAGAGTGATTCATGCAATAGTCTTGATTTGACAGCAATTCGTAGTGAGAATGTTTGATGTTTTCCGATACAATGGAAAAAGAACAATATCGATCCGTGATTCGCTTTTTATTTTTGGATGGAAAAACGTGCGAAGAAATAAAAACGAAGTTGGATGCCGTCTATGGCTGCGTTTCGTTATTCACTGTCAGTACTGACAATATGACGTCATAAAGTAGTACTGCAGAAGCGTTTTGAAATTACTAACAGTACTTTTATGACGTTACATTGCATAACGAAACGGATTTAGTAGTACTTGGTAGGACTGTAGAAATAAATAATTTTTTAAATTTTGATAAAATTTGGAATTATTAATTATATTCATATCTTTGCGTGCTTTTTCTGCATCTACTTTATTCATTAATATGTCATATTAATATGTCATAACTTTTTGACATTATTCGTTTCGACATCTAAAAAACAAATTTTTTCCTGATTTCCCATTTCGTTGAATTTCGCCATCTTTTTACTGCGATTATCTGACCTCGCCAGTCGCAGTAATAGAAATAAGAAGTGACGCAAAAATTTATGACGTCATATAAACGCAAAAGTATATTGGAAGTTTACTGCGATATATTTTG